TCCCATTGTCCCCAAATCCCATTGGCCCCATTGGCCCCAAATCCTGATGGCCCCAAATCCCATTGTCCACATTGTCCCCATGTCCCACTGTCCCCATTGTCCCCAGATCCCATTGGCCCCGTTGTCCCCAAATCCCATTGTCCCCAATGTCACCGCTGTCCCCAATGTCCCCAATGTCCCCAAATCCCATTGTCCTGATGTCCCCACTGCCCTCAATATCTCCACAGTCCTCAAATCCCACTGTCTTCAAAGCCCATTGTCCCCAACGTCACTGTTTGTCCCCAAATCCCGCTGTCCCCAAATCCCCGTGTCCCTATTGTTGCCATTGTCGCCATTGTCCCCAAATCCCGATGGCCCCAAATTCCAATGGCCCCAAATCCTCGTGGCCCCAAATCCCCGTGTCCCCATTGTCCCCAAATCCCCATGTCCCCAAATCCCATTGGCCCCAAATCCCGACGGCCCCAATGGCCCCAAATGCCAATGGCCCCACTGTCCCCACTGCCCCTAAATCCCAATGTCCCCAAATCCCTCTGTCCCCAAATCCCACTGTCCCCAAATCCTGATGGACCCAAATCCCGATGGCCCCAATGTCCCTAAATCCCAATGGCCCCAAATCCCATTGTCCCCAAATCCCACTGTTCCCAATGTCCCCATTGTCCCCAAATCCCATTGTCCCCAATGTCACCGTTGTCCCCAAATCCCGATGGCCCCAAATCCCATTATCCCTAAATCCCATTGCCCTGATATCCCCACTGTCCCCAAATCCCGGTGTCCCCATTGTCCCCAAATCCCAATGGCCCCAAATACCAATGTGCCCATTGTTGCCATTGTCACCATTGTCCCCAATCCCAATGTCCCCAAATCCCAATGGCCCCAATGTCCCCAATGTCCCCAAATCCTGACGGCCCCAATGGCCCCAAATCCCAATGGCCCCACTGTCCCTAAATCCCATTGTCCCCAAATCCCCATTTCCCCATTGTCGCCACTGTCCCCAAATCCCCAATGGCCCCAAATACCAATGGCCCCATTGTTGCCATTGTCACCATTGTCCCCAAATCCCATTGTCCCCAAATCCCACTGTCCCCACTGTCCCTAAATTCCGCTGTCCCCAAATCCCCGTTTCCCCATTGTCGCCACTGTCCCCAAATCCCCAATGTCCCCAATGTCCCCATTGTTCCCCAAACCCCGATGGCCCCAAGTCCCGGTGTCCCCAAATCCCATTGCTCTGATGTCCCCACTGTCCCCACTGTCCTCAATGTCCCCACAGTCCCCAAATCCCAATGGCCCCAATGTCCCCATGGCCCCAATGGCCCCAAATCCCACTGTCCTCAAATCGCGGTGTCCCCAAATCCCGATGGCCCCAAATCCCACTGTCCCCACTGTCCCCATTGTCCCCAATGTCACCGTTGTCCCCAAATCCTGATGGCCCCAAATCCCATTGCCCTGATGTCCCCACTGCCCTCAAATCCCAGTGTCCCTAAATCCCGATGACCCCAATGTCCCCATTGT